TAATCAGTGTTATATATTGATCATAGTGTTACAGGTCAGTAATTAGCTATAAATCTAACAGATGATATTGCAGCAATACTGTGTATTCAAAACCCTCAAAATTATGTTTCTCATACATGGAGGTGGATTATCTAAGATGGACTATCAGCCAACAGTAGTAATCATTTGGAGACTTCAGGCGATAGAGGGGATAGCCAGAGTAGATGGTGGATAGTATATTCCATATGACAAGATTACATGCCATTCTGTCTCTGCCATCCCATCTCTCAAGGATGAATGAAATTAAGTGTTCATAAAAGTAGGTCAGTGATTATATGATATCCACAATTTGTAGGTCTCCCAGGCCAGGTCTAGGCAGTTGTTAGAAGAGATATATGCTTCTAGATGGCTAAGATTTGACTGGGTACTTCAATGGTCCAGGAAAAACAGCATTACTGATATACACCCTGCCAATCATAGGAATGAGTGGTTGGTATCCCATAATGAGTATAGATTTCACTCCTTGTATAAATCTACCTGCTCCAATATAAGCCTGTCTAACTTTCAAAACTTCTGTTGGCAGTCCGGTTATAGATGGCACCACCATCTTCTGAAGTGAAACAGATGGCTGCCAAAGGTAGTAGCAACTTATTGATGGAACTCTCCTTCCAAGGCAACTCATGTGATGTCTATTTTGATGGTTTTCAGATGCTAGGAGAAACCATGGGATGCTCAAAGAAGCAGTCATTGCCATTGGTTTTTAAGACATTTTTACTAATTGTATTTCCCAAGTTTCTGCTATTTTGTCATATCTTCTTATTTTAATCAGGTTGGGTACTCATTTAGTTGTGTTTATCACAGACTCACTGAAATTAGAGGGAGTTGAAGCTAATCATGTCTACCTTTCTACCCCGATATTTTTTTAAGTCTGTTCCAGATGCTTAACAAAAATATTTTGAATTCAGTGCCTTAATTTTTCCAAGAAATGTTTTCTAATCCTGTCTATAGTCTCTTCTACGTGCAAGGGTTGCACTGATCAAAGGTCTGTACTGTCCCCTCTTGTCTCCATGGGGAGTGTGTTTGTGTGGGATTAGCAGCTTCTGCTGTAGAGGAAACACTGGAAAGGCTGATTTGCAGCATTTTTCTTGAAGCTATGGGGCAGTCCATTTCCCACTAGAACTGTCACCTCATCCCACCTCCTGGCTCCTGTGACTTCCCCATTCTCTCTTGTATCAAAGGCACTTGTGCCCAACACAAGTGCCCTGGATACATTTCTCTGCCTCCTATCTTTTCCTGTCACTTCAAGGGATGGCACTGCTTCTTGCACGGTGGACAGTTAGGTATGTTTTTCTTAGCTGAAAAAAGCAGATGTGGTTAGGCAGAATTGGGTTCAGGGTGCCAGTTAGCTGCTTTTTTTATGGGGGTGGATCCTTCTTATTGGCCAGCTGGAAGGAGTGCTGGCCAGCTCCATGGGCACAGCCATTGGGATGATTGTGCGGCAGCATGGAACTGTTGCTGAGGATAAAAGGGACAAAGCAATGACTGGGTGGAAGGACCTTAAGTCTGGGTCCAACCTATTGTATTTTTAAAGATACAGACACCTTGAGAATCTTGGGTTGGAGTGAACAGCAAAATATTTGAATCAAGAGATAAGTTGAAACCAACAAGGGAAATTAATTGGGATTGAACTCAAATAACCATGGGATAGTAGGCTTAGGCCCAAGCAGATCATCCTGGCATTTGGTCACAAAGCTGAGGTGCCTATCTTTGTTGTGTCATGTGTATCTTTACTTATAGCTCACCTCCTGCAGCTTTCTCCAACCTGGCGTCCTCCAATGTGCTGGGAGACTGCCCAGGCCATGCTGGTTCAGGATTCTGATGTTTGCATTCTCAAAAGAGCACCTGGTTGGGGAAGGCCATTCGATACAATAGTTTCAGAGTATTTTTAAGCAATTCTATGGCAAGTTCATTAAAGATCTAGGGGCTACATTTGCACCAAATACTAAGCTTGGATATTTTGAACCCTTTAAAGTTTGTGTGTATGTATGTGTGTGTGGTATACAGTAACCATACATCCTTTATTATAAAAGACAAGCCTTTATTTCAGAAAGCTATCCTTTAGATTTATTTATTTTTCAAAAACCACGTTTGCCCTTTATTTTGGTCACTTAACTTTTACCATACAAATGGTACCACTTTCACATTCTTGTGAAAAATATGGAAATTGAATTGTCTTTTAAAAATAAATTTACATATACTGTTTGATTT